TGAAGTTGAGCCCAATACGATGTGAATTTTGCACTTAGTAGATTCACGTTTTTGGCTCAATCCACTTAAAAACCAAAAAATCTCAACATGCAATACAAGAAAACTGAGCTATACATTTTCCCAACTCAACTCCATTCAAAAGAACAAGATGAACCACATTTAGACAGAATTATCTAGTTTTTCTCTTCAAAAACTAAGGACCTAAAGACTTAACAACCAACTTCAATTTCATGCAGCTTATCAACATAATGCAATCATTCAACAACTATTTCATATACAATAACTAAAAGATCAACAAGGAACTAGGTTCTAGCTTTCTCCACAGCACACCTCTGTAAGATAATCTTCAACTAAGAACCTCTGATCAACACTCAAGCTCCGACGAAAACCTATCGCTCTATCGAAGAGTCTAGAAAGTAACAGAAGGGGAAATCAGAACTTCAGAGCTTCTCTCTTTGGTTTATCTCTCTAGGTTCTCTGGGAATGAGTTATGAATTCAATTCTCAAGAAACATTATATACTCTTCTTTCCTCAAGATCAAATTGGACCTCTTACCAAATAGAACTCTTTAAACACCTAAAATTTACAAGAAATTATTTAATTCCAAAATTTATCAACAATATAAACAACAAATCAACACAATACAAATTTTAATAAAATCAGCAATACTTAATAAAAACATGTTGTATTACAAAAACAATCAAAACTTATTATCAATTTATTTAATTAACCCGTTCGTTTAGGTGGGTTGGTTGGGTTGGAATTCCGTCAGAAATTTCAGACGAATTTAAATCCGTCGGAAATTCCATCAGTTAAAATTCCGTCGGAAATTTCTGACGGATCTATATCCGTGGGAAATTTTCGACGGATTTTTGTCCGTGGGAAATTATCCGTCGGAAATTTAACTTTTTCTTGTAGTGACACCATTGATCTTACACTTGATGTCATCGATCTTGCACTCGACAAAAGTGAGACAAAGAGCCTTTAACGTGTGTCATGCTCGATGCCTTGAAGTTGAGCCCAATACGATGTGAATTTTGCACTTAGTAGATTCACGTTTTTGGCTCAATCCACTTAAAAACCAAAAAATCTCAACATGCAATACAAGATAAGTTTTAATTATATATAATATGTTTGTATATATTACCTATGCTGAAATACTAGTTTTTTTTTTGTTAAAAGTGCTCTACTTTGGTGCATAAATAAATGAGTACCTCTGTATATATGTTTGGAGTTTGGACATTGAAATGAGGATCTTGTGTCTGAGTTTGTGCAAAATCTTGTGATTTTTTTTATTTTGTATTAATATGTTAAAATTTTTATCTTAGACTAACCTGATTCATCCAAGAGATAAGTAAACTTTCAACGACAACCCTGTGATTTATCTCCACTTCTTATATGTAACACATAAAATAACCAAAAATATGCGACCCTTTGGAAAACTGGCCAGAATCAAAGAGGAAAAATAGAGAGAGAAAAGAGAATTTGGGCAAAGTTTGATTTTCATAGAGGAACCAATGAAATATTAAGAAAAGAAATGTTATTGAGCATGTGGCTGAAATGTTATTGAACATGAGTAGTTGGTGTTGGTGCATTGAGATATGAAAAATTGGATTGGATTCATACAAGCTGTTCTTCTTTTCTTTTGGTCCACCACTGCACTGCATGGGGACAAACGCAATCAATTTAGGTCAAATGCCTTCTCATACATCTCCACTCTCCAGCTCCTTCATCGATCAATGCAATTTCATAACTCTTTTTATTTTGCAAATTCACAGATCTTTATTACATTAGTTATTGACATAATGTGTCATCTTTATTTTGATTAACTACTCATATTCATGGTTATTTATAAAGTGAATATGAAAATTAGGGTTGTTTGAGAAGATTGATTTGGATTAGTTATGAGCCACAATTCCATCCAATTTAAAAGTCATATCAATTTGCGAGTCAATTTAGTTTGGATGACTTTCTTAAAAAAAATTAAAATAAAATCGATAAAATGTTTCAATTAATTTGGATAATTCGGTCTTTATCAATATTTTGATTTCTATTATTAGATATGTTTGGTTTCAAATAATTATTGATGCCTTATTTCTTATATGAATAAGAATGAAAGGGAAAAAAATGCCTTATTTCATTATTAGCACTTCTTCATCATGTATCTAGAGATTAGTTTCATACTTATTTAGTAAATTAATTAGTTGATGTTCGGAAACACCAAAATTACTAAAACATTAAACACATATAACTTAAATGTGAAATATATGTCAATGCAGCACAAAACACATGAATTAAAAAAATTGATTTGATTTGGATCATTTTGATTATTGTAAACAATATAAACACAATATTACAACCAATATGATCTAATTAATTATATAAAAAGTCATTTAAAGAGATTTGATTTTGATCTGTTTACATTTTTTCTTTTAGTCAAATCTTGATGAAAATTAAAGAGAGGGAAAAAAAAAAATAATATACGAAGTATATAAAATGAGAAAAATACTTATATAAGAGTGAGAGGAAAGAAATGTAAACCATACAATTATGCATAGATGGTTAGGAGATGTGAATTTTTCTTTTTCAAAGAATCATGTTATCATTAAATAACTTTTAATCTCAATCATTCATGTATAACTAGTTGATTCAGGTTTAATTTTTTTACTTGTTATAAATACTCCTCTAATGCATATACATGACATATCAACTAAGAATGTGAGAGGTGAAAAGAGATAGTCTTAATTATATGATTATAGGTGATAGTTGAATTTGTTCTCTCATATCCCACATTTTTACTTGATATGTTCTTATATTATTATATGAAATATATATAATGGCTTTTTTTTTTTTTTTTCTCTTCCTACGAGAGTAAAATGGGTAATTTTTTATGGTATTATCATGCATCAAGTTGGTGGCATTTACTATATGTATAGTAGACAAATTGATCTAGTTGTTAGTTTGAGGTGCGTGTATGACTAATCGGAAAAAGATCCCACATCCACATGAAAGGATAGGGAACAATGGAAACTAATAAAACATCCAAAGGATATCAACAACTTGTTTCATGCCAAGACGATGGGGGACTGCCCTCACATCGTTAATAACACCATTCTCCTGTCCTCGCCAATAATTTAATCAAATCATTGATTACATGCATATTTATTAGTATATTTTTTAAACATGATCATTTTTTAAGTTTTCTCAAGAAAAAAAACTGATGAAAGAGAAAATATATATTATTTTTCAAAATAAACTTACTAAAATATACATTAAATCAAATGACTTGATAACATTTTTGTAATTTAAGATTTTTTTATTTCTATACAAGGTGATCTGGTAGGAATGATTTCTACCTCTTCATCTCGAGTTTTTTATTTATTTTTTTTATTTATCAGTAAAGCAGATTATATTGATATTAAGTCTTTATGCATCTATCCAAATTCTTCAGGACAAAATTTATTTTTTTAAGCCTAATTTACTGACATAAACTGAGCTTATTATTAAATAATTATGATTCATTAACGATCAATTACGAAACAATACTGATTTCATTTGGAGGAATTTTATGGAAAACTAAAATTTGAATCCAATTATACCATGTATGGTTAATTGGCTAAAAAGATGATTATTCGCATCAAATAACTGTTCTGATAATTTAATTAGGCCCTTATTCTCATTACAAATTACTTTAGAAACCAAGCTCGGTTATAGCTTCGGGAGTTTACGATATCCATAACTTCTGTTTAATAAATCCCTATCGATTGAGTTTTTAATAATGTATCTCAGAATCTTGAATTTCTTTTTACTACTTTTCTATTGTTTTTTTTATCAATTATTTTTTGTCGTCGAAATGATTAACTCCCATTTTTTTACACCAATAATGTAGATTTTTAAAGTGAGGCGCAGTAAGTAGAGTATAAAAGGTGAAATTATAACTGAGTGGTGCACTTTATCAATGGCTAAGATAAAAGATATTATGTAATAAACAATTATATATATGTTAAAAATTGCAAAACTACAAATATGTTGTTTTGACATAAATCTACGTATACTTTATTTTTTAAAAAAAGCATTCTTTATTAATAGAGTTAAATAAATCCCTATGCAAAAAATGAGTTTCTTTTCGTCATGCTTCGAACTATTTAATCATGTTAAGTATGATAAAAACGACTTTTTGAGTGTTTTATTTTTAAAAAAAAATCTCAACCTTTTTCTCTTAGAAAAACGCATAAAAACGGCCGTATATAAAAGCTGTGGGAACAAAAGAGCGGAAAAGTGTCTCCTCAGTTGGGAAAAATTGAAGTCTGGCTATATATTAATTAATACAAACTCAAGTATCCGAATATTACGGGACCCATTCTGGCAAGTTTTTTAATATGAAATTAATGCCTTTCCAAGATATGAAAAGATCGAGTATAATTAGTAGTTTATCAATTATCACTCACCACATGAAGCACACAGAGTTGAATCAGCAGATCGGAAG